CCCATCCCATCCCATCCCATCCCATCCCATGGATCCCATCCCATGGATCCCATCCCATCCCATCCCATCCCATCCCATCCCATCCCCATTCCCACCTTGGCTCCCTGCTGTTCCCTCCCTCAGCAGCCCCTTCAACGCTGTGTTTCTCCTCCTGCTGCTGTTCCCCTCTCAGCTCCCCTCATCCCAGCTCCCAGTTTTTTCCCACAGGCTGCTGGAATTATGGAGTTTCCTCCAGCTGGGGTATTAATTGTGCCCGGTAATGAGCTGGATGGTGCCACACAATCCCTTGGTGAACTCTTCTGATGCTTTGGATTACACAATGCAAAGAGGATAAATGTTATCCTGGGATGCTGGGAGGGAGATGATTGAACTTATTTCAAGGCTAAGTGCTTTTTGGCACGGATTCAGGCGGGGGGGAGCTGTGAGGGTGGCGAGACAGCCGGAATTCTGGCCAGAGAGGCCGCGCTCCCTGAATGATGCATTGGGATCCCAGGCGTCCGCGCCTCTCGAGTGTGAAAAATGCTGCTTGTCATGTCCTCAAATGTTTCTGGTGAAGCCTGAGGTATTTCCAGCCCAGGCAGTGGAGGGATGGCTGCTGCCAAGGTTTACTCATCTGGCTGAGATGGCCGAGCTGGGGAGGCTCTGCAGGGCCTGGAGGGTGTTTTCCCCAGAACTGCTCTGTCCTGGATGTTCTATGGGATCACCTGGGGCAGGTGATGCCTTCTTGGGGCTGCCTAAAAACAGAAGCCAGACAGAAATAAATAAATAAATAAAAGTAATTAATTAAAATAAATAAAAAGCAGTTCTATTTATTGAAGGGCCTGCAGGTGCATTTCAGGCAGTCAAAGCCCCCAGACTTGACTGCCTGAAACCCAAAAATGGACCATGGGTTACAGTTTTCACACTTTTATAAGTTTGGTCCATTTGCACATTGGGGTTCATCCCCCAATTCCAGCTGCAGGGAATGAAGTCATTTCCCCCAAGTTTGCTGTCCCCAGCTCCCTTTTGTTTCCATCTCTGGGGCCTGAGGCACTGAGGTGTCCTTGGTTGCCAGGCCTGGAGAGGAATTGCTGTGTCTGCCCAAAGTGGGGGAGCAGCAGCTCCCAGTGTGTGTGGAGTTTGGAGTTACACACTGGAGAACTGCAGGATTGCAAATAGATGGAAAATAGAAAAGCCAGAATCCTAAAGGATCTCAGGGATTGTGGGGAGATGTTTGGAATGGGTGCAGCAGCTTTGTGTCAGTGGGAACTGCAGGGGACACAGCTCCAGCTGTGCTGGCACCTCACAGGGGACAAGGGGCAGGGAAAGAGGGGCAGGAAAAAGAGATTTAATTATTTTTCTCACCCTTTTTCTGAGCAGTCTGGAACCTGGATGCTTTATCCCACCAAACACCCTCCCTGTGCTGTGCTCCAGGTTCCTGGGGGATCCCTGGGGTCCCTGAGGTTTTTGTGGTGCTGGAGCAGCTCCTCCCCAGCACATCCCCATCCTGACCTCCCTAAACCCCTGCCCTGCTGAATTTCATGACAAATTTTCCCATCCTGAGGACTTTTGACCAGTGTGAGATCATAAAACCTCGGCCTGCAAGACGTGCAGAGGCTGGAGGAGAGCGGTGCTGATTAATTTGTCACAATGGCAAAGTGTTCTTGTGTCCTCCTTCCCCTCATTACCGAGACAATCCTTCATTTCCCTGCACATTTGTTCCCAGTTCACTGCTACCTGCTGGGATCTGACTTTGCCTGGTGTTAATTATTTGCAGCAGAAGAGCTGCATCATGGAAAGAGATGAGATTCTGGCTTTCTCCTTGCTTTTAGTCTGTTCCAAGGCTGTGCTTAAAAGGGAGGGGAAAGAGAAGAAAAGAGCAGAATATTTTTTTTTTTCCTTTTCTTTGCTCATCACCCTTTTTAACTTAAAGCCATCATTGCAAGCATGAAGAGGATGAAATTCTTCTTTCTTGGTTTCTTGCAGGAGGGGGCAGAGAGCAGTGACTGATCCTACTGAATGTGGGTCCTTTGCTCCTTCTGTGTTTTTTATTTAGTCCAGGAGAGCTGGACTTCCTTTATTTGCCCTTCTCTTAAGCCACAGTGGAAATCAAAGCCTGGAATACAAAAATGATATATAGGAGACCTAAATTTGAATTTCCTGGGGGCCTCTGCTTTGTCCTGGGAGTGGAAACTCGAACAGAACCAGAGGTTCATCCTGCAATTGCAGCAGGCTGAGGCCAGGAGATAAATGGAACTTTTGAACTCCTTTTTCTCCCTTTGTCAGCGCCTCCTTGGAGCCAGGTTTGCCCAGCTGTGGCACTTCCACACACGGTGAGTGTTGATAATCAGCAGCGTCCCCATCATCTGTTTATTGAATGCTATCCTAATTAAGCAGACAGTTCAAACATCCTATATGGAGTATTACAGCAAATTTTAACGTTATGCATACAGCATTCATCTCAACACCTGTGAAAAGACAATATATATATAAAAAAATATATAAATAATACAAATAATCTGTGTTTATAACAGAGAGGAGCTCACTCCAACATCTCCTGCCCTGGCTCCTCTCCGGGATGTCCCGAGGTGCCACCTCCCATCCAGGCTCAGCTTTTTGCCTCGGATTTTCTATTCCTTGGATGTGCTTGGGCTGGAGACCAAGCCAACCCTAAAACTCAGTGGATTTTTTAATTATTTTTTTTTTTAATGTCAATTTGAAGACTTGAAATTCCCAAAGTTCTTGGCAGCTGCTTTCCAGGAGTCTTTTTCCTCCCAAGATCCGCTGCTTTCTCAACAACACTTCTGAGATTTCCCTGGATCCGAACGTGGGATCCCTCTCAATGAGGAGCTAATTACCTGTGCTGTAATTACGAGTCGCTAATCACTCTATCAGCAGTGCTGTCTCATCTCTCTCTGCCACGGGAAGAGTTTCTCGCTGATTTCTGAGCAGCAAAAACCCCAAATTGCAGAGGTTTGAGGATGCCATCAGTCTTGCGCTGCCCTGGGCGTGTGCCATGAAAGCCAAAGCAGGAGGAGCTTTTAGGATGCTCCATGGCAGAAAAGTGAATCACACACTCAGGGGATGAAGATTGTGCTTTGTTGATTTTTTATTTTTTATTTTTTCCTCTTTGGTGCGACAGGATTTTTAATTTAGGTCCAGCGCGGATAAAGTGGTTATAATAATTTTATTAGTTATAATAATTTTATTAGTTTATTATGTTTGCTGACCCTGGTGGTTATTCAGGAGCCGCCTCTGTCTCTTGTGTGGCTCGGGGGGCTCTGGAATTGCCCTGGAGTGGCTGTTTCAGTGCATATTTCACACCGAGATTGATTTCACTCCTCCACCCACCGAGGTGGAAAGCAACAACCATCCATTTCCTGGTGACATTAAGCACCGGCCACTCTGGAGGAGAAAAATGTGACACATCGAGCCTGACTGGATGTGGTTTCCATGATGGATGCACTGCCTTGGAGTCCTGTTTGTTCCTGCTGTCCCTGTGGAATCAGCTACAACGTGGGCAGGAACACCTTCACTATCCCAGGCTGCTCCAAACCACGTCCAGCCTGGCCTGGGACACTCCCAGGGATGGGGCAGCCACAGCTTCTCTGTGCCAAGACCTCTCCACCATCACAAAAAACATCATCACACATCCCAGGACTGGCCAAAGGGTGGGAAACCAGCTCTGAAAAAAAATCCTGGAGGTAAAACTGGGCAGGAAGCGGAAAATTTCTGCTCAGGTTTTTCCTTTCTGGAGATTTTTGCAAGTCAATGGCATAAATGGGAATTATGCTGAATAAAAGAAGGAACCTATTTACTGCTCCCAACCCTTCCCATGGGCTCTCTGTATTTTCATTTGGAGCTGGCAGAGAAACTTCAGTTGAAATATTTTTAGATGAAATATGGCATTTTGATATAATTTCCCCCCCTTTCTTTGAATGTGTTCTGAAATTTGTTGAAGAGCTCTCAAAGGGAAATTCTGGGAGTTTTCCAGTTGCAGCAAATGGGGAATATTTCAGTTCCTGAATGGTGATGGATGTAGTGGAAGAGATGCACATGGTTTATTATTACATTTCATATAGAAAACCTTCTTCTTAACAAGTCCCAGCTTCACCAAACCTCTCTCCCATCTCCTGAAATGAGAAAGTACAAGTGGAGCTCCTTTCAGCAGGAAGATCCTAAATCAACATCCCCCAGTCTTGAACCTGTGCAGCTCTGGAGCATTCCAAAGGAATTTAATGGGCAGAGACCCAAGGAATTGCCTTCTCCTGGAAGTTACATTCCCAACTTCCACAGCAGTGCCCAGACAAGGACCTGGACCTGGACAAGCTCGAGCAGGAGCCCACAGGAACCTCCTGAGGTTCCACCAGGCCGAGTGCTGGAGCTGTCCCTGGTCAGGACAAGCCCTGGGATCAATCCAGGCTGGGATGAGCAGATGGAGCAGCCCTGGGAGAGGAACCTGGGGGTGAGAGCTGGACCTGCCCCAGCCCTGAAAGCAGAGCTGATCAGAGGGGATCAGAGGGATGGAGCAGCTCTGCTGGGAGAGCTGGGATTGTTCACCTGGAGAAGTTTTGGGGTGAGCTCAGTGTGGCCTTGCAGAGCCTGAAGGGGCTGCAGGAAAGATGGAGAGAGACAATTGACAAGGGATGGAGGGACAGGACACAGGGAATGGCTCCCAGTGCCAGAGGGCAGGGCTGGATGGGATATTGGGCAGGAATTGTTCCCTGGCAGGGTGGGCAGGCCCTGGCACAGGGTGCCCAGAGCAGCTGGGGCTGCCCCTGGATCCCTGGCAGTGCCCAAGACCAGGCTGGATGGTTCTTGGATCACCCTGGGATGATGGGAGGTGTCCCTGCCCTGCCAGGGGTGGAATGGGATGGACTTTGAGGTCCTTTCCAACCCAAACCCTTCTGGGATTCTGTGGTGAGCAAAGCTGCCAGCTGCAGGGAGCAGGAGGGGGTTGAACACCCCAGTGTCCCTCCCTTGGGAGATCTGAGTTTGGCTGCACAGAATCTGCTGAAGGCTAGCAGCTTCCAGCAGTTTCTCCCTCATTTTCTTACACTTTTAAAGTACAGACCTTCCACTTGAGATTTTGGGCTCTGATCCTTGTGGGTCCTTTCTGTGTTGTGATCCTGCAATAGAAAGTTGTGATAAAAGGGACGAGTCCTGGGTAACTTCCACTGCCCTCGGGCCAGACAGGACCTGGCAGAAGATGAAATGCAAGGAGAGCTCCCTCCCTTTGCTGCTCCTGAGGGGTGAGGGAGCAGTGCCATGGCTCATCTGCTGTCATTCCTGCCCACGGGGGTCCTCCAGGAAACTTCCCACTGCTGCTGTCTCCTCCTCTGGGACATCGGTGCTGACGCGAGCCCTAACGCCAGCCTGGGACACGGAACACGTGTCACCTTGTCACCTGGTGCTGTGTGATCTCATTCCTCCTGCTCCAGACACAAACCCAGGCTGAGGGAAGGTCCGAGGCCCCAAGCAGCGGGGGCTGAAGCAGGAATGAGAGCAAGAAAAGGGAAGAGGGGTGAGGCAGCTGACACGTGCAGGATCACCCTGCCATGGGCTGGGTGCCAAGGAGGAGCTGTGGGCTCAGAGCCGTGTTCTGGCTCCCTCTGGTCCAAGGATGGGCTCAGGGGCTGTGCTGGCAGCAGGAGAGGGGAGTCAGGAGCCCGGGATGTGCTGCCAAAATGAAGATTCCAGTTTCAGTCCCATCAGTGCCTCCCTTCCCCGTGGGTCACATTCCTGCCAAAAGAAGCAAAAGGGGAACCTTTGAAGGATCCCATCCTTGAAAAGGATTCACAGTCTGCAGATCGTGAATGCAAAGCTGCCCCTGGCACCCAGAGCTCCTTTTCCCCCATTCTTCCACCCTTCTCCCAGCTCCTGCCCCTTGCTGGCTTTTGATGAGCAGGTGTGGGCTGCTTAGATGGGATTTTAATAAAAATCATTAGTTAGCTGATTAATTAATAGCAAACTGAAGGTGGGAAGGACACAGAGGAGTGAAGATGTGCTGGGGGATGGAAGCCCCATGATCCCACATTTATCCACACGAAGCTGTCGTGGGACACACTCCAGTGTGTGTTTAAAGCAGGGATTGAGGTTCAGAGCTCCATAAATGGCAGCTGGACACCTTCATGTGTCCCAAAAATCAGAACATTTCCAGAGGTGCCAGGAATTACCTTGGGGAAGGCCCCAGTGTGGGCTGTGCTTTTTTCTCAGCCTCATTTCCAGCTGGACCAGCAGGATGTACTTGGGCAGGGTTCCTGTGATGATTGCACGACCTTTCCTTTCTGCCTGCCCTGTTCTAGCCATGATATCCAGATTCTTGCTTTCCAGGGGATTTGCCAGGATCCTGGATCATTTTTACCCTCAGCCCAGGACATCTGGGCTATTTCCCCTCAAGCCATCCCCACTCAGTTCTCACCTGACTTCTGCTTGTCACAACCACCAAAATCCTGGGAAAACTTGAAGGAAGGCTGACAGGGAAGCGCAGATCCCTTTAAAAAAGTGCTGATGTCTGACTTAATCTTGGCTTCTAGAGGAGGTTGTGCTGTGGGGAGAGCTGGAGGATGGTTTTTAGCATCGAGGATGATGATTTGTGTTTCCTGGCTGGCTGTGGTGTGCGCACATGGAATTTTTCAGGTCTTTTTCAGGATGAGACAGGCAGAGAAGCAGCTGAGGAACAATTTGCTGGACAGCAACAAACCCCTTGCTGTGGTTCCCACTCCCTATCGCACCCTGAACTCCACAGGCTCCCTGAACTCCTCTGGAAGGCTGAGGAAGAGCTGTGTGCCTGTCCTGGCTGCCTGTGATGGCTTTTCCCTCTCTTCTCTCATTCCTGCAGTGAATTTGCCAAGGAGCGGGAGCGGGTGGAGAACCGCCGGGCGTTCCTGAAGCTCCGCAGGCAGCAGCAAATCGAGCGGGAGCTCAACGGATACCTGGAGTGGATCTTCAAAGCAGGTAGGGCAGGGATCTCCTGGCCTTGCTGGGGTGTGTTTTTGGGGCAGGGAAGGTCTGGTGATGGGCTCCAGAGCCCAAAACCACTCCTTGGTTTTGTTGGGATTTTGGGTTTGCACCGAAATTATCGCAGGGAGATCTCGGCTTGGTTTAAGCAAGACCTTGAGATCAAAGCAATTGTCCTAACACAGGATAATATAAAAAGTGATGGAGTGCCCAAAGCCTGCACAGAGGGGAACTGTTCCCTTCCATGAGTAATTCCTGTTTTATTTACTCCCTGCCCCAGCTGCTTTATCAGCCTTTCTTTCTGGGCTGGTAAAACCCACCTGAGTGGCATTTTTTTATGAGCTACAAAGATCACTTGCAGGAAACTCCCCCCAGCCTATATTAAATTTGCTTTATGACCACAGGAGCTGAACGTTACTCTTTATTGCAAGGCGTGAGCAACTTTAACCGGGACCCAGACACATTAATTTAACAGAAAATAGCATTTTTATCAGACTGCAACGATTACCAATAACCTTCCTGCCTTGTGGAGGAGCTGATATTTTTATATTGACATAACCACAGTCAATTCTTTCATGCAGCACCAAGAAAACGGGGAGAAAATTACCATTTCCTCCTTGCTTGATTTTCAATGTCTGAGCCAGGGGAAAAGGACTTTTAAAACAATGATGGGGAGGAAAAGAAGTGCTGGTTTCTCAAATGGATTCCTGGATGCCATTTGAGACAGATCAGCTTCATCTTTGCTCTTCACAACTGAAATGTAAAATAGGAAAATCAGCAGTTTATGTGGTGCTTTGAACACTTTATTTCCTGTAGCACTGCACAGGGTGACAATTGAGGGCCACTTGTGTTGTCAGACTTTTATTCACTGTGGCTGCTCAGCAGCAGCTCAGGCAGCCACCCTTCATTCTGAGCTTCTGGAGGAATCAGAACACAAAGAATTCCCTTTCCTTTCCATTTAGAATTTGTCTTCTCATTAGTTTACAGCTTTTGGGCAGCCTCAAACTCAGATTAATTCCTGGCTTGCCCAGTGGCTGGAGCAGGGTTCTCTGGGCTTTTCCCTTTCTCATCCTGTCTTGCTTTTAAGGCTCTTGGTGATTTTTGGTCTCTAAATCCTGATCTCCATCAATAAAACAGAGCTGAGAATTCCCCTGCAGGGCTGAGGGTGGCTTTGTGTCACTTTGGGGCCCATCACCAGCTGAACTTGTGAGAAACTCGGGATGGAGAAATTATAAAATGTACAGTCAACCTCTGCTCCTGTTCCCATCCCTGTGGGAATTCCAGGCTCTTCCATTTCCTTGTTGCCAGGGCTGAATAAATGCCACACCAATCTCGAGCGAAACTGCTGGAAAATGCACATTTTTCAGCCTAAAAACACCATGCAGAAGGGTTTTGTGGGACAGGGAAGTGCATGCAAAAGAGCTGAATCAGGGAATGTTAGAAATACTCTGGAAAGGCATTGTTGGGAATACAATAGGAATATAAAAGAGCCTCCTAGTACAGCTGAATAATAACAGTAATTAAAATCAGCTTAGCAGAGTTAATAAAATCTTTGAATAAAAATGCAGCGTGAAGGCAAAGCAGGGCAGAGAATCCAGGCTTTGGGTCTGAGGCACTGGAAATTGGGACTGTGCCTTCGACAGGGATTTCCCAGGTCTGCTCTGGGGACTGCAGCTCTGAAATGGTCTGGAATTCCTTCTGAAATCACCTGGAATTCCTTCTGAAATGGTCTGGAATTCCTTCTGAAATGACCTGGAATTCCTTCTGAAATGGTCTGGAATTCCTTCTGAAATGGTCTGGAATTCCTTCTGAAATGATCTGGAATTCCTTCTGAAATCACCTGGAATTCCTTCTGAAATGGTCTGGAATTCCTTCTGAAATCACCTGGAATTCCTTCTGAAATCACCTGGAATTCCTTGTCCAGGATTTGGAGGGGAGATCAGCCAGAAGTGGACAGAAATCCCTCTCAGCAGCCCCAGGCAGGAGCTGTTTGCACAAAGGGAAGAGCAGAAGCTCCTGGGATTCTGCTCTAATGGAACTCTGGAGGATTTGGTCATTATTCCTGGGAATATCTAATTGTTTTAAATCCTTCTGCCAGCCTTGACCTCGTTGACTCTTGGAGCAGAGAATGCCACGAGTTAACACTCAGTTTGATTTTAAAAACTAAACCAACCCCACTGAGCTGTGTCCTGCCCTCAATTTAAATCCACCAAGAGGAAAAATTCAGGAATAATTTTAATTGCTTTTCTTTCTCTAATCTCTCTCTACCCTGTTTCATTTTTTTCCTCCTCTGGAGCACCCAGAACCAACCAGCCCAATCCCCTCTCTTCCCCTGGAAGCCTCACCAGGTTTCCAATATTTCTGATATCCTCCCTGAGCATTTGTTTTGTTCATTTTTTCCCCCCCTTCATTTATTTTTGATGCAAGGCAGAAAGAGTGGAAAGCTGCATTCCAGTGCTTGCTAAAATGATGTCTTAATCTTTAGATGGTTTTTGCTCTGTAATTTTTTTGACATATTCTGTGTAGTTGCTGGAGCTGGACTGGAGGTGCCTTTGTCCTTTGTGGTGCTCAGTTTTTTACCTCAAGGGTTGTTTTAGGACCAAGGGAGGTGTGAGTGACTAAAATCACTCCCTTATCTGTGCCCTACCTCCCCTCAGGCAGCAATAATTTTAATTTAACATCGTGGTTCTTGATCATTGACCACTCTGAAGCGTCTTTAATGTTTGCCATTAATGTCTGTAATTTGAATGATCACAATTTATAATTTGAATTAACAGAATCCCAGGCTGGTTTGGGGTGGAAGCCTCATCCAGCCTGGCCTTGGAGACTTCCAGGGATTCCCCAGCCCCCCAGGGAACAATTCCTGCCCAATTTCCCACGCAGCCCTGCCCTGCTTCAGCTGTGTTTTCCAGAGGAATCCAAAGTGGGGATGCCAAGCGATGCAATCCATGCAGATGATTTTTCCCCTGATGATTTCTCCACTAAACTCCTCAGAACTGCAGGAACTCCAAGGCTGGAATTTTTGGAGAACAGGGAACTACAAGTTCCCCACACAGAGTAAAGAGCTTCTAAGCCCACAAATATTCTTTTGAAGCCGTTTCTCTCATCTTACAAGGACATGAATCATTTGGAAAACACTTTGCTCAGAGACTCAAAGTCTTCCTGTTCAGGGCTAATCAAGTTTTGGGTCTTTTGCATTTTAATTCTTCCCAAATCCACCTTTTTCACACCAAACTGGAGTGGTTCTGCTCTCCTGGAGTGCCAGGCTTTGGGAATGGTTTCATTTCTCTCTCCCAGCCCTCTGGGACTTCAAGGCCACCCCTTGGGCTGACAGAGCTCTCTGAACTTCAGCTTTCAGTTTTCTCCAGAAGAACAGAGCCCTGAGCCCCTGACAGAGATGGGAACCCTGAGATGCCAGGGCAGGGTAATCTCCACAAAGCAGATTTCCCTGGGAGAGTGTGACAGCCCCTTCCCAGGGCTGCATTTTTATCAACATTTTCTATTTACCCAGCCAGAAATTCAATTAATTCACCCTTTGTTTTCCCTCAGCTCTGCTGAGTGTGAGTTATTTCCAGGAATCTGCTGCTCCTCTGAGCCCCCAGTGTCCTCTCTCCCCACACCAGGGAAGGAGAAGAGGCACCACTTTCTCAGTTTCTTTGCCTTTATTTCCAGCCCAGTCACTCCCAGCATTTAATGACCCAAAATTCCTCTTGCTGCCGAGACACCCCTGGCTCTGATACCCTGGTAAAGCCCCTGAGCCTTTGTTTGGAGGCTCAGAGTTGCTGATCTGGCCCCATCTCTGCTGACCATTTCTCCTAATGCAGAGACACCGTTTCTGGAGGTTTTCCAGGTTCCCAGTTATCTCATTCCAGGCTCTGTTGGTGATGACTAAAGGCACAGCAGCTCCTGAGGCTCTGTTCAGGATGCTGGCTGGTTAAAAACCCCTCCTAGCAGTGCTCAGTGACCTGCTGAGCTCTCTTTTTAGCCCTAAAAACCTCCTGGGGAAGCTGTGGCCCTTTGGATTCCCAGAGGACACGAGGCAGACAGGAAAAATTCCCAAGGGAGAGAACCTGGGAACGCTGCAGGAGGAGAGCGAGGCCGGAGGGAATTTCAGAGGTGAAATTACTTCAAAGGAACAGCAAAACTGAGCCCAGCTGTGTTTATGGATGGAGATTTGTTTGGGCACCAATTCAGGAGCCTGAATTTGGAGCAAAGGTTTGCAGAATTGTCCTGTAGGGGTAATTTGTGGGTGAGAATCCAGAACAGAGCAGCCTTTGGGAAGGGTCTCCGTGCCTAACCCATCCCTTCCTTGTGTTTCAGGGCAGTCAGACTGGGAATTGCCACTTCATTCCTCCCCTGTTTTATCCCCTGAACATCAGTACAGCTTTCCCTGGGCAGGACTTGAGAAGAACCTTTTGCTGGCTGGTCAGAGCAGTCTCATGAACTGTCCAAAAAATCCCATTTCACTCTTCTGACCTGTCTTAGGAAGACTTGAAAAGCCCCTGAATTATAGGTGGGAATTGCAGGCACAGCTTGTGGGTTTTTGGAAAGACTTTATAACTTATGAAGTGCAGCTCTGAGCTCATCTGACTTTTTTAACCCTCTCAATTCTCCTTTCTTTCACATCTCCGGTGCATTACTTTGCACTTTTGTATTTCCTTCCCCTCTGCCTGGGTTTCCAGCCTTCCTCAGTCCTTGGTATTATTTTTCAGCCTTTTCAATTTGCTGTCTTATTAAAGTATCATTCCCTCTCTCCCCCAGATGATTAATAAAGAGATTATATAAGGCTTGAGTGGCTTATAGAGGCTTATATAAGGCTGATCCCTCTGGTATCCTTCTAGACAGCTCTCAGCTTCACACTTTGATGTTTGGCCTCTGGTTTGTTTGTATTTATTTTTCTGAAGTTACTCTTCCATCCAGACTGGCTTAAACGGACTTTAAAGCAAAATTTGGTGGGAACACGGTTTCAGATGTTTCAGTAAGAGCCCAAACCACATCGATGGAATTACAGGCGTACAAATTTGCCTTTTATAAGACTTAGAAGGAAGTGTGGAGTTCACCAGCTGCCAACTCAATGTTTTGTTCGCTTTGGGTCGTCCTTTAGCAGATCCCCACCTCAGTTTCCAGCAGCAAAGGGAAAATCCGTGGTTCTGAGTGCGGTCTCGAGTGTTGGCACAGCACTGGGAACTGGCCAGGAGGGTGGCAGTGCCTCTGGGAAAACTCAGGAAATTGTCTTTCACACAGATAAAAATGAAAAAAACATTCAGGAGGTTGTTTCTTAGTGTTTCCTGATTTATTTTTTTATTTTAATTTAGGAAAGCTCAGGGTTGTATTTTGGAGATGAGCTGCAGAGGAAGGGAAGGGAAGGATGCAGCCACTGTGCCAGGCAGAGAGCTCCCCCGTGGAAAACTCGGATTTTGTTTGGACACAAACACATTTTGTTTGGCTGTGGTGGCTCTGTGCGTCCTGCTGGGGACTCGCGGTCCTGCCTGGTCTGGAGGTCCCCAGAGGTGCCTTGGGAGCTGGGTGAGGGGGTGGCTGTGAGGAGGGAGAGCTTTGTTTGCAACCCTCGCACAGGGGGAGAGAGGAATATCCCCGAGCCCTGTGCAGACTCCATCAGGGGGTGCGGCGGGGATGCACCGGAGCAGGGCTGTGAGCAAGCCCAGGCTGACCTTGGCCGCTTTTCCTTTTCCAGAGGAGGTGATGCTGGCCGAGGAGGACAAGAACGCGGAGGAGAAGTCCCCTCTGGACGGTAGGTGGCTTTGCTGGGCATCTTCCTCCTGCGCCACGGGCGAGGTTCCACCGCTGGCGCTGGCACGCCTTCCTCCCGAGCAGGAGGATCCTCCCGCATGCACAAATCCGGCCACACAGCCCCTTCTCCCGGGGCTTCTCCAGGCTGCAGGTGGCTGAGGAGCAGAGATGGGACAGCCCAGACCGGCCCGGGATGGGGATGCGCCCCCGGGGTCGGTGCCCACGCCCTGCCCAGGGTGGCTGGCTGTGTGTGCGGGGCTGGAGCCTGCCCGGAGGATGGAGAAGAGCGAATGCGCTGACCGAGAGAAGGCAGGGCTCCGAACGGATTTGACCAAGGGACTGAGCCCCCTGTTAGCTGTAAGCAG